GGAGCAATTTTATTAGCATCAAAGGTGTGGGATGATCAAGCTGTATGGAATGTAGATTATTGCCAAATTCTTAAAGATATTACAGTAGAAGATATGTAAGTTCATATTTACATTTAATATGATTAAATATTAATATTAATATTAAATATATCTAAAATATTCCTTAATAAATATTTAACATTAATTTAGGAATGAATTAGAAAGACAGTTTTTGGAAATGCTACAATTCAATATAAACGTTCCTTCAAGTGTATATGCTAAATATTATTTTGATCTTCGCACACTTGCAGAAGCAAATGAATTAACATTCCCTAGTGAACCACTTAGTAAAGAGAAAGCTCAAAAATTGGAAGCTATGTCCAGAGTTTATGAAGATAAAGTTACTGCTGAAGCTTTACGTACTGGTATTAAAAGATGGTCAAGTTTAGATAATATATGCTTAGGCGGACCTAGACGTAGTATTGCCATTCTATCCTAAATTTTAGATATAAGTAATTATATTACTTATATCTATACTTTTTCAATCAAGGTACGTGGTGCAAACCTACTTCACATAAGTATTAATTTCAAATTTTTTATAAGCATATCATTTCTATTATTCACAATAATTTGTATCTTTTTTTACTTAAATATTTTAATGCAATACAAGTTTTATAAACATTATTTAACAAATGTTAAATTTTTTCAATTATTTTTGTTTCATTGATTTGTACAATTACATTTTTTAATAGTGTTAGAGTATAAAATAATAAAATATTATAATAATTAAATTGCTAACATTTTTTTTATAAACAAACTTTTTTGATATTAAATTTTCGTTTTATTTAAATAATATATAAAAAAAATTATTTATTATACAGTTGCTATAAAAATTAATTTTTTAATCAGGGACCTTTTAATATATTAAAATAAAATATTACATAATAAGGGTAATAATAAACTTTTTACTCTTTATATTGTTAATACTTCTTTGATTAAAAGAAACAAATTGTGATATAAACCAGTTATTTTTATTCAAAAATATTAATTAAATGATTTCATAAACAACTTCATAACAAATTCATTAATAATAATATAAAAAAAATTTCATATTAATTTAAATTTAGTCTTTTTACATTTTCTATGCATAAATATTGTACATTTTAATAAAATTTATTATAAAATAAAAATATTTTGAGGAATTTGTAAATCAAAGTTTTATTAATGAAATAACATGATATATATAATGTATCTTTTTCTTTTTCAAATATTTTTCTAAGTTTGTATTCATATATATAGTTTGAATTAATATTAATGTGAAATATAAGAAATATATTGGTATATATTTTAATATATTTCAAATATATCATAGACATATATTTTAAAGAATTTTTTGAATTTAAATTGTATAATTTTTATTTATTCAAACATCAATTAAAAAATAAAATTCATTACATATAAATAATTTAAATATAATAATTATATACATCTTGTATGATTAGAATCTTCAATCTTCTTTACAAACTTTTCGTTATTTTTCAATTTTATTCTTAATTATTATAATTACAAAACTATATTATGAAACGAAATTATATAATATTATTGCCTAAACTAATTTAATATTAGTTTTATCAATATCATTAATCTTTGCTTCTCTTTTTATAAAATATAATAAAATTTTATAAATAATGAAAGTGCACTCAAAGTTATTAATAATTTATTAATAACTTTGTATTTTTCAACTTTATTAAGAAAAATTTGTATTTATATTCAAAAAATATAAAAAATATAAAATTTATATATATATATATATACATATATATATATATACATATATATATATATATATATATTTGTTTTATTATATCAGTTTCTTAAATAAATTCTAACTGTAATTTTTAAATTATAATATAACAAGAATATTTTTAAAGATTTTTATTTTATGTTTTATGTAGTTACAAAAAAGATATAGCTAGAGCAATAAAAAAAGATGTATTATCAAAACAATAATGTTATCTATAAATGAAACTTAATCACAAATATCTCTTTTTTTTCAGTTTAGATAAATTGATATTAAAATTAGTATTTATATAAATTAATGTTTATAAAACTTTGATCATTAAATATGCAAGTAATAATTAAATACTATTATATAAAAGTATTGATTATCAATTTATCTATAATTTATAGCAATTGCAGCATTTTAATAAAATTTTTATTAATAAAATCATTCGTTAATATTAATATGAAATTATATAAGTGAAATATTACTTGCATTTCTAATAAATTTTGATTATTCTAAATGATGATAATATTACATTTGACTGATTAGAAAAACTCTTTTAATTAATTCCTAGTTAAAATTAAAATGATTAATATTTCAATTTGTATAAATATTTGTCAAATATATATTCTTTATTGCATCAGTAATTAAATTTTTTTATAAATGTTGCAATAAGTTTCAAATTAATATATGAAATAATTTTTTATATAATATTACTAAGAAGAAATATTTATTATTGTGCAATTCTTTTGTGTAAAAAATACTTTTAAATTATTCATTTTGTAAAAAAAATTGTAATTAAATCAATACTTATTTTTAAATGAATTATTTAATTTATTCAATAATTTCATAATATTTTATTTTTAAAAAATTAATAAAATTATTAAAAATAGAAATAAAATAAAAATTATGTTCATAAAAATTAAATTAAATTTTTATTGAATCTCTAATATATCACAGAATACCTACAATTTATTTTTATTTTTGTATTTTATTATTTATGTATAAAAATTTATACATTATTGTAGAGTCTTAAAAAATAATAGTGTATAATATTAAAATGTAATAACATACATAATTATGAATGGCATTCATAGTATATTGAAATAATGATACTACTTACATATCTGCAGTTTTGCCTAAACAAAATTTTTTTATCAACAAAAAATAAAAAAAATATATTTTTTACTAAATAATGGATAACGAATGGATTGATTTTATATATCATACAAGATAAAATAAAAAGTGAATAGAAAGTGAAAATGATGTATATAAATAAATGCATTAAGAAATGCCAAATACTTGCTTGAAAGTAATCAAAAACTATATGCAACATAAATTTTCTTTGTTTTAATATTTTAATTTTTTAAATTTAAAAAATTAAGATTTACAATTTTTTATGCATAACTATTATAACTATTATGCATAACATATTTTTAGTATAAACTATTTTTATAAATAGAATCACATTGTAAAGACAATCTTGCGTCCTATGATAAACTGCTATACTTGATCAACAATTAAAAATTAAAAATAAATATATGTATTTCTCATACAGTGGTATTATAAATAAAATAATTTTATTGACACTTTGTTGACTATTATAATATGAATATTATTTTAAATAATTTATGTTTTTTTTGAATGTTATTTTTAGAAATTGTCATAATATAATAAATATTAATTTATTAAATAAGTTTTTTAATGCAAAATAAGTTTATATTCCGCTTTTATTTTATAATATATTGCTTTATATGACATATCAATGCAATAGTCAATAAAATATTAATATTTATAATACAATATATTGTACTTGAAAGCAAATGTATAACAGTCGACTTTCAAGTCTTCCATTTTGAGAATAGTTTCAAGACTTTTTGCTTAATTTACAAGATAATATTTCAGTATATTATTGCAGTAATGTTTTAAAAAAAATGAATTGTGATATATAGTTATATAAATTTATTATAAACATATAGTTGCTTTAATATATCTAGAACAAATAATCATTTTATTCAATTATAAAACATTAATTATTAAAGAATATTTATTATATATTACAATTACTTTTCTCTTATTTCTATTTTATATTTTATAATGTTTCTAATATTGTCTGTGCTTAATTAATATGTAAAAGAAACTTTTAATTTTCATTCAATTTTTCTAAATCCATAGCATGCAAGATGTATATTGATTAAATTTATAATGTACAATGATATAAAATTTCATTTATTCTACAATTATTTATGATAATAATATAATGTAATGACTATACTTAGGAAAGTAATATTGCATTTGCTAAAAAAGACCATGATAATGTAAGTTCTTTCCTTTTAACAAAATAAAATTTTTTATAAGTAGAAATTGTAATTTGATAAAATTAAATAATACAATTTATAGAAGTATAATAAATAAGAAATATAATAAATAATACAATATATTAGAAATAATTTACGAAGTAAGAAGTTATGACTTATATTGATGAGTGCCCAAGATGCTTGTATACATTCAAAAACATTCAAAAAATTTAATTTTAGCATATCTATTATATATAATGTACATAATACATACAATACATACAATACTTGCTTCATATTTCGTACCAATTTCTAACAAGCTAATATTTTATAACAATAAACTGTATCTAAAATATCTTGGTAATATATGTATTTGTATTTATATTTGATATTATAATTATTAAAATTTATCAAAAATAAAAAGAAACAAAAAATTGAATTTCAAATATATTTATAATGTTATTTAATGTTTACACTTCTATTATATATAATCACTAGAAATTTATGATCAAAATATATATTATTTATGTTATATTAATAAATAATTAATATTAACATATTTTTAATTATTTTATCATTAAAAATAAATATTAAATACAAAATTACGAAATAAAATATTAATAATAAACTTTTAAAAAATATTGAAATTAATTATTCTAAAATTTAAATAAAAAATAATTTTATTAAAGATAGCTAAACCATAAAAATAATTAATTTTTATGGTTTAGTTAGTATTAAAAAAAATAATTATAATTTTTTTTACTTATTTTAGTTGTTTAGTTTGTTTTCATATATTTATTACTATTATTGTTATTTTTATATATTATTTTTATATTTTATATTTTTTAATTATAACATAATCGTTTTTTATTCAAATCAATGAAATCTGCAAGCAACAGATTTTATTAAAACTGTTACCAATGTTTGTTATTAGAAAATATTAATTTAATAAAAATAAGAGAATCTATATATATTCGAGTTTATTAATAGATTGATCAGCAGAAATATAACAAAATCAGCAGATTACAGCAAGTTATAGCAGATTAATAATAAATTCTGTTACATAACCTATGTACATAACCTATTATCAGACTGAAATAAAAACCTATCTGTTTACAAAACTCAAACTTGATTTAAGTCTAATGTGGAAATGGTTTGATATTACACATTTTATCAATTTTTACTATTAATTACTATTAATCTGCACATAAATTGTTATATAACAAATAGTTATATAACAAATTTTTTAATATTTATTAAAAATGTGATCATAAAAAATAATTAATAAAATATTATAGCTATAATTTTTCTAAAATTTTAATAAATGCTTTAATCATTTTGAAACATTTAAATTTAAGAAAAATTTTTAATTCAATAAAAAAAATTTATTTTAATTTACATATTTTAAAATATAAATTTCATATTTTTTTGTATATTTTAAGAGAATTTTAAAATAAAAATTTTATATATTAATTAAGTATTTTTAAATAATTAATTTTTTTTTATCTTTAAAAATAATTTTATTATTCAATATTTTCGAAATGTTTTAATAATATACATATATATATNAATTTCTTTTCAAATAATAAAATTTATATTAGATTTAATATGATAGATAACTATATTTAATGAAATTTTATATATGACGAATTTAATATAATATATATAAAATATTTATATTTTATTTTTTCAAAAAAAAGAAATAAAATTGTTTTAATGCGATGATTTTCATAATTGGTTTATTAATTCAAATATTTGTTGAGAATCACTGTTAAAAACAGAGTTGCCAACTTGTTACTTATTATTTGCATGCAAGAAACGGAAATTTTGTCTTTATATATGTTTATATTATTATATGCGTGATATACGTTCAAATTAGACTATGTGTACTTATATTTATATATGTATATGTATATATATATATATATTTAAAATATTATTTTAACAATATGTTTATTAATTCATATATAATTTCCAAATTAATAACAACAATATTTTTTAAAATAAAAAAATCAAAATAATTTTCATAATTGTATATAATTCTGAAAGAAGAAAAAAATTGAGACGAAATTACAATTTTTTTACTTAATTTTATAAAAATTAATTCACTTTATACATGATAAAGAAAACAATGATGATGCATAAAGTAAATATGAAGTTATGTCGTCTTTGTGGCAAAGAAAAACAGCAAGGTACAGATTTGTTTATGGACAAAGTTAAAGGAATTGTCTTGATGTCACTTATAAATAAATATTTCTCCAAAGAGGTATATGAGATAAATAAGTTATAAAATACATTATATAAATTATAAATTGTAAATTAATTTTTTAACTTATTTAATATTTTTTTTGTTGTAGATGATAAATATTTCAAATTCTGATGCATTTTCTAAATATGTTTGTATTGATTGCGAGCAAAAAATTTATGTATTTGACGAATTTTGTTTAATGGTAGCTAATGTACAAAAACAACTTGCAGCTCCATCTTTAGAAATTGATTTTGCAGAAGTATAAAATAATTTTTTAATTTTTTTTTAAATAAAATATTTTGTTTTAAACAAATGTATTACAAGGTATTATAATAAGTATATTATGTTTGCAGGATATGTTACATCAATTAAAAGAAAATGATACAGTATCAAAAAATATCTTAAATAAACAAATAAAAAAAAGTACATGCTCAATATGTGCTAAGAGTTTCAGATGTCAATCACATTTAAATAGACATAAACGCATTCATACTGGACAAAGACCTTTTGTTTGTAATGTCTGTACTATGATGTCTTTTCTATATTTTCTATATTTCTATATATTTTTAATATTAGATTATTTTAATTTAAAATAATAAGTATTATTTATTTTAAATTATTTTAAATTATTTTAAATTATATAGCATAAATAGTTCATTAAAAAATTACAAAATTAAAAATTCATTTACTAATAATATTTCAGATTTGTAAAATGTCTTTCAATCAACAAGAAATATTAATGAAACATAAAGAAAGACATGAAGGAAAAAAACAATTTCAATGTGCTAATTGTCATCAATCATTTCGTTATAAAGTTTCATTGAAATCTCATATGATAAATTTTCATATGGATATGGAACAATCTATTAATAATCAAAATCTTCAAATAGATAATAATTCATTTATATGCTCTGAATGTGGAAAACAATTTGTAACAAAATATAAATTACAAAGACATTCAAGATGCCATACTGGTGAGAAACCATATCATTGTACTTTTTGTTTAAAAACATTTTCACAAACAGGTAATTTAAAAGTACATCAGGTGAAATATCATCAAATACATGATTCTGTGACTGAAATAAGGCGACAGACTCAGTATAATCAAATAGTTGATTGTAATATATCTACAACATTAAATAATTTTCATACAGTTAACATGTCAGAGATTGAATTACAAAATACAATAAATGAGACTATAAATTCTACAGAGCAAAATAATTCATATGCAAAAATATACGAAAATTCTTTATATATTGATGATGAAATAGAAACGATTTTAGACCGTGATCTTGGTCAATTAGGACAAAATAAATATTCTACAAATGTACAAGATAAATTATCACTTTGTTTAAAACAACCAGAAACTCCTGAATTATTGCATAGTTTATTATATGATGATAGCTAAGTTGTATTTAACTATATATTAATAAAGAATCATTTATTTAAAATATTATACAAATTATGTTCAAAGTAAAGAATATAAAATTGTGCATTCATACTATTCATAATTATATGATTATATATATATATATATATATATATATATATATTTTTAATGTATATTCCATTTTTATTAATAATGTTATATAATATCTTTAGAAAATAATTTTAAATATATATTATTAATAACTTTACAATATTTGTATAATTTTTTAAGAAATAATTTAATTATATTGTATTTAAATTTTTTTTATATAGTTTATAAATAGTTTATAAATTAAATTACAAATATAATATTATATTGAGTTATAAATAATTTTTATATCATTTAAAAAAATTTGTAAATATTATAAATTGTGTTTTTATTTATTGTAGTATAATAATTTTATATATATATATATTTTTAATAATAATTTAATTTTCATCTTAATATTTATTGAAGAAATTTATAGTAAATTTTTTAATTAAAAATATTTTTTCTTATATATAAATTTATTATATATAATTATATATAAATTTATAATATTATATATAAATTATTTATAAATTTTTCACTCAAATTTTTTTTATTTATTTTATTTTTAACAAATATGCTATTAATATATTTATATTTGAAATTAATATATTCTTAATCTTTAATGAAAGAAAGAATTTAAAAATAAAAATAATATTAAAAATTGAACAAGAATTATATATAAAAAAATTTAATAATAAAATAAAAATATCATTAAGAACATGTAACAATAATAACTTTTGTTTTTATATATAATTTTTTCTTATAATAAAATAATCATATTAATACAGAAATTTATATTTTTACAATAATATTACAAATATATTAATGAAGAATAGCTAATCGACCAGTGTTGGTAGCATAAACTAGGCCTTGGCCAGGTTGTGGTGCCCATCTGATACAATTTATACTTGTGTGTTCTCTAGTTGATTGATTATTTTGTAATAAATCTCTAACTAATAACATAGTGTTTCTTTTATTGGAGTTCATAAAATGTAAATATTTTGCTAGATTAAAATCCATATCTTGAATACATGGTTTGTCATTCTGGGATTGTTTATGCGTTAGTCTATAAATAATAGCCATTGTATAGTCATTTCTCATACCACTTCTTGCTAGACCTACTAAAAGATGTTCTTGTGTTGGTGAAATTGAAACAGAAATCACAGAATTATATACTTCTGTCCAATAAATTTCTTCTCCTAAAGTTTCCCATTGTAAACTATAAACTCCTAAAAATAACGTTGCATGAAAAAGAGATCATAATTTATTAATAAAAAAAATATACGCTATATTGCTTAATTATTAATGATTAATTTTTCAAAGAAATGAAATATATATAAATATAAAAATATTTCAAAATTTTTTTATGTGAAAATTTATTAACAATTTATTAACAAATAAACAAAATTAATAAAAATTGCAATAATTATGAAAGAAATTATTATTAGAAAAATATAAATTATTATTTTTTTCTCTTATAAAATTAATTCTTAAAATTCATAAATATTTTTTATTATATTAATTATATATCATATTATTATAATAATGTTTAGCATGAAGTTAATAAAAGAATCAATATATTTGAATATTCTGTTAATATTAGAAAAAAAAATAATTTCTCACCTGCAGCTCTCATAAAGCATGTTGCCAATAATTTACCATCCGAAGAAATATTTATACTAGCATCATTACGTATTTTACACTTGTGTATAACAATATTTTTTTCAGCTATAATATAAAAAGTACTTTATAAATAAAGTACTTTACTTGAAATATTTTATTTTTACAATATAATAATAGTGATATTTACAATTCGTGATATCTGGTATTTCTCCCTTAGAAAAATCCCATGCTTGGACACGATATCCGGAAATTCCTGAAAAGTTCCTCACTACTGCTGAGACATCTTCTAAAAAATTTAATATTTTAATAATTTAATTAAATTTGATTAATGCTATCATTTTAATCCATTGTATACATTTAAAATAGATTAATTAAATTATAAATATTGGTGATGAAAAAAATATCTTTTTGTTGAATATATTAATTCATTTTATTTTTTTAATATTAATTTTGAAGATACAGTAAAGTCGTTTTTATAAAATTTCGATAAAATTTTTAATAACAGATTATGTTATATTTTAAGTAAAATAATAAATTCAATTTATTAAAATTATTTTAAAAAATTAAATCTTTTTTTAGTTACTTAATTTTTGAATTTCAAAAAAATCCAAGTTTCACTTGGATATATAAATATGTAATTTAAATCTCTGATTAATGACGGACAAGTATTGGACAAAATTGTTAGAAAATTTTTTGTATCGAATTTTGAATGAAATCGCGAAAATAATAGCCCAACAAATTTTTTTGGTATGCTTTTAGTTCTATATATAATAATGATTCATTAATTTGGCTTTATTCCATTTATATTCGTCAGTCAAAATATAAATTGATCTTAATGCTACTAACTATAAACTAAATTTTATTGAAATTGATAATTATTAGAATTAAGATTATTCTTAGTTGTAGTAAATGAAATCTTAAATTTTTTATATCACATTTACCTGAAAAAGATCTTTCATCATCATCACGTGAAAGATTCAATCCTCCTCGTCTTCTTTCTGTTTGCCAATTACAGATATATGGTAATATAACATCACTATCTACTGTTACAGCATCACGTAAACTTGATTGAGTACTGTGTGAAGGCTCTTCAATGGTTCTAAAGGATTGAACTGTTTCATTTTGAGCAGTTTCCGAATAGTTATTTGATATTTGATTATTATACATCCTACCATACCTTAAACGGGATCTATATAATTCAATGAAGAATAATAAAATTTGATTAATAATAGTTTAAAAAATATTTGCTAACTTAGATTTTTAATTTGTATCATATATACCTGAATAATCTTGATTCTCTTATATAATCATTTCCAATTCCTGTGATTAATTTCCTTCCTAAATTGTCAAAAGCTACATATCTGAAATACATATAATATATATATATAATAATAATCCAATAAATAAATCCATACATATGTATAAATTAACGATAAATTCACTCGCTTTAATAAAAAATTGTTTATTGAAAATAAATTTTGAAAATATTAATTTTTCAATCTTAGTTTATCAAGACTTTTTTTTTTTTTTTTTTTTTTAGCATTATCTATCTAAATATTTCTATCTAAATAATCTATTTTAAAAATTATGAATTCTCTTTTTTTTATCAATTACAAATTAAATGTTATACTTTTTACATAATATTTATTAATTTTCAGCTTATAATTTATTTCATAAATTCACATCCACAACTCAAATTACAATATAATATATTAAAACTCACCTTACTTTTTCTATGTTAGTTTTAGTAGATATTACTGCAAAGGGTTCAGATCGACTCCAATCCCAAAAATGTATTTCATTATTTGTTGCTATAACAAGTAACTTTTCAAATGGATGGAAAGCAAGAGAAGCTATGACTGTTTGACTTTCTGCATTCCAAACTTTACTACCATCCTATTTATAACAAAATATATTTTATATTCAATTATAAAAATAAATTTATAAAATAAATTTTATAAAAAAAATGTATAGAAATATTTTTATTATATTATTGTGTTTTTGTGAACATAATATATATAAAAGCAAAATATATAAATATTTAGAACATAATTCAAATAATTTCTAAAGATTTAAAAATATTAGAAAAAAATTTTTTTAAAAGTAAATCTTTTTGAAAATACTTAAAACTATTTTTTTTTCTTTTTTTACAAAACTTTTTTTAAAAAAATAATTTAAGAAATATTTAAATATTTCCAAATCCACAGATCAAAATCCAAAGATCAAATATTTATCATCACAATATATACTCTTTAATATGACTTTTGTTTGAAACACTTTTTTGTATTTTTGATATTTACAAATATATATTATATTTGATACTACAAATATAATAATCGCATATATATACTTAAAATAGATATATATATATATATATATATATATATATATAAAATAGATAATATATATATATTACATAATATATTGCAATATTATTTTCCTTATAATTATAATTATTAAATTTCATTCTTATTTCTTAATAAAACTATTTACCCTTAAATCCCAAACTCGAACTTGACCACCAAGACAACCAGAAGCTAATATGTGACTAGAGGATGGATGAAATGTGATACACCATGGAGTACGTGGATGACCAGAAAGAATTTTAATATTTTTCCTAGTAGCTACATCAGTAATATAAACACTATGATTTCCATGTGCTGATGCTATTTTTGTGCTACAATTTAATTATATAAGTTAATTTATAATAAAAATTTATTTATGATTTAATTTCTTACCCATCAGGACTGAAAACCATTAAAAATGTTGCTTTAGGATATCCTGGTAGATCATATTCCTACAAGAAATTAAAGTAAGAGAAATAAAATAAAAATAAAATATAAAAAGTTATATATAATATAATTACCAATTCTTTATGCTTTTTTCCAACAAGATTCATTTCAGCAATTGATTCTAATCCACGTGTTTTAGTTTTACAACAATTATAATATAAAAATCCAAAGTCTCTGAACATTAAGTCCTTTAATATATTATGAGACCGATTGCAATGAAGCAATTCTGGTCTCTTCTTGACCTGCTCCATTTAGCAGGATATCCTACAATATTTATAAAATAATTAAGAAAAAAAAAAAATTAAAATTTTCTTAATTAATATATGAAGAGATGATAAGAAAAAAGAAAAAATATCATATTATAATTTTAATCATAATTTTTTATGATTGCTTTTATATTCTTTTCCTTATCATTGAATATATTGCATTAAAATCTTGAATTAAAATCTTTTTTGAGTTTTATAGCTTGAAAAAATTGAAAAACAATGAAAAAATATGAAGAATGTTAAAGAAAATATTATATTACTTAAAAATATAAATAAAAAATTGAAAATGATGCAAAATAAAATAAAAAATAAAATTATATTAAAAAACATTATATTAAAAAAGAATTGCTAAAAAAAAATTACATATATTTTGCATATAATTGCAATAGAATAAAAATATTTTTGCTTTTATATATCTAAATATTTAAATTATTACAAATTTATGCAACAAATCATTTTTAAATTTACCTTAACCTTAAAATTTCAAAACATTCAAAATTTATAATATTTATTAACACTACTTAAATTATTTTTTGTGTAAATTCTATATGGAACAATTATATAAATAATTAATTAATATTTCTCACTATTTCCATAGTTCTAATTGACAAATAATAACGCATATTAATAAACTGATCAATAGTAAACAAAATGCATTTACCTTATGAAACCTACTTTATGTAACAACATTAATATCAAGATTTCAATTTATAATTCTTTTTTAAAATATAAAAATTTATTTTATAGTTTTTTTTAAACAAATATAAATGTGAATAAAATAAAAATTTAATCTTGAAATTCAAAACTGAAATTTTTTTTTTGTAAATTTCTATCAATATAAGTATAGAATATTAACTTACCTCAAAATCATAATACTTGTTTTATATTTTACATAATCAAAATACGTTTTTGTTTTACATAAAATATTTTTGAATATACAAATACTTTTTGATATACAAATACATGTAAGAGATTACAAAATTATTTATTTACATCATTAAAATTTTTTTTACATAAAAGAAATGACAAAGAATTTGTAAACTTAATAATATAGCAAAATTTTTAATTTTATAATCAAATATAAATAATATTATAAATCAAAAATATCATATTTTCATTTTAATCAATTAATTAGATATATTAAATTCTTTTACTAAAAAAGAAGAATTTAAATATATCTAAGGTTAAATTATTTTTAATTATACATGTATAATTAAAAATTAATTGCTGCTTGATAAATTTTATAAGAATAAACTATTCAATAACTTGAATCTTTTTTAATAAGTTAAATCTGATTAACACTATGAAAAATTTTTTTTTTTTTACTTAATATTTTATTTTATTTTATTTTATTTTTTATAATGTTATTATTAAAATATTTAAATATATTTCTTAAAAATTTTTCAAGAAAAAAATAAAAGTAATTCTTTTAAAAAAATTAAAAATTATTTTGTTAAATATTTATATAATTATTATTGTAAAATTCTATCATAAGTAAAATATTGCATACTTAATGAAACATTTATTAAACTCGATTGAATATTTTAAAATTTTTTTATAATAATTTAATATTTAAGAATTCTATGTGACATATTTTCGTATATTATATTTAAAAGTTATTTTGAATCAATCAAATGCATAAATTTTCTAAATATTAAGTAATAAACAGAATCTTCAGAAGAAAAATCCAATAACAAAAAATTATTAAATACTAAGAAATTAAAAATATACGTATAACTTTGTTTAAACATTGTTAATTATACACATATATATGCTATTAGAATATACATATAAGAATATACACTATATTAATTATTCAAAAGCATAGCTAATACTACCTTAAAATACAGTAGTGTTTAGTTAGAATTACGCTTGTATTATCTGTTATCCCCACTATTTCTTAAAATCTATTCAAGCGGTTAACTAACTGAACTAAGTATATCAAACATTCAAGCCTGCCTTCAAAATATAAAAACAATTAATAAAAGAACAAATATAATAGTTTCATATGAAATTTTATATATCTCTTTGATTATAGAATACTTTATAGATTATGAGATTTTTTATATGTATATTATACATATAAAAAAACACATTTAAAATAGATTTGATATCATCTACATCTACATTTATATCTACATCTTAGCTACTAGTTATCATTTTGGCGCCAAAAGTAATGTATATGTTTAATAATATATATTACACACACACACGCGCGCGCGCGCGCGCACATTTGAATTTTTTTCAAATGAATATTATTTTAAATTTTCGTTACATATTTTCTTCATATACAATTTAACTTCTATTACGATTAAAATTTTTATATTTTTGCGTAAAAGAATAAAATAAAAAATATGAAAGATATTAATAAGATGTTAATTTTAAAGAATTAGTAAAATAAAATAATAATAAATAGAAAAATATTATAAATATTTTAATATAATTAAATATAATTTAATATAATATATTTAAAGTAAGATGAAAATAAAAATGAAACAATATATTTATAAACTCTTTATTATTGTTTTTAAAATAATATTTAATTATGCACAAATTATAAATTTTGTACATATTTTATTTGCAATGTTAAATGAATATATACTATATTTTTTTTTTTACTTATTTTTATACTGTGTAATAGATAAAATTTTTTTTTCATTGTTTAATGATTCAATATACGCAAATTCCCAGAGACTATTTTATTTTCTAAAATTGTGCCTGATGGAAGATCGATACGCTCTCCATGATTTGCAATAATTATAACAGTTCCTTTAAGAGTTACACCTTTTCCAAAAGTAACATCACCAGACACTGTTAAATGGTCTAATTCCAAAAGATCTGGAATTGCTGGAAATCTAGTAAGAAATTCTTTGACCTATAAAATCATTAATTATTATTATAAAAAATTAAAAATTTAAAATTTTCATAGAAATTATGAATAAAATAATAACCTTTGCAAAATGATTATCACCTAATTTTATAAGAGGTGTAGTGGGAAACATTCGTTGAGGACTCATTACTAATGAACCATTGCGAAGAGTATATAAATTGCTCATAACAAGCATTAAGTCTGAAGTTTTTTTCACTGGTAAAAATCTACTCCGAGGGACATTTATACCTATTTATAAATTTATACAAATATATAATAATAAATAATATAATTATAATAAAAGATTAATAGATAATTAAAATTTTATTTAAAAATGTTAAAGTTCACAAAATACAAAATATATGGATTTTTACCAATACTTCCTTCAAATGATTTCATAGCTGCTCCAACAGCTGTTTCTAATTGAATGATATTTGAACCATTTGAAAAAGTCTTATTATTGACAATAATTTCCATGTTCAAAGAATTCTTTTCAAGTACCCTTTCAATAGCTAAAAAGAAAATAAGAAATACATATTATAATTATGAATTTTATAATTAATAAAAAAAAGAGTACCACTAAGTTTTATCCATAAATTATTTGTGTTGAAAAACTTGAATGTTTTTACTGATTTGAAATCGTCTACATGATCCTTTGGAACTTGAGCAATTTCAAGTAAACGTAGTTTATCTTCATATTTAATTAATGTACCACCCTAGAAAAATATATAAAGGTAAATTCTATTTCATAAATTTGAATATTTCAATTTATAAAAGAAAATTTTACTACCTTAACATCAGCTCGAGTTTTATCAGTAACTTCCATAACAAATTCAAGAGGTGAAGCTTCACGTTTATCTAATAATAATTTCAAAATTTTGAAATCTACAGTAGCACCTAAATTATCAATGTTTGAAATAAAACAATATTCACGTCCCTATATTCAAGAAGAATATTTATTATAAATAATATTTAATATAAATAAATGATAATATATAATTTTTTATACGTAAGAAATTGAAAAAATTAAAAATTTTTTACCTCTTTTATAAATTTTTTTAATAAACCTGAATTTCGAAAACTTTCATAAAAATCTCCATGACCAGGAGGATACCATCTATAAATAAAATATTTATAAATATTTATATAAATAAGTTTATGTATTTAATAAATATTTGAAATCGTATTAATCTTACGCTTCAATATCATCTGCAATATCACAGTGTTTTGCAGTTGGAAGTAAAGAATCTCTATTGATGCGAGGATAACAACTTTGATTAAATGTTTGAATATTAACATCTATTCCTTTGTATTTTCTAATAATTCGTTGTGTATCATCATCCGTATTGAAAGAATTCATCAAAATGAGCGGAACATTAGCATTATAAGTTTTGTTTAAATACTGTGTCCATAAGAAATAATAAGTAATAAAATAAATTTCTCGTGACATTTTAAATATTTTTTTTTATTTCTATAATCATAATATTTTTATATATATATATATATATATTTTTTTTTTTTACCTCAATTTGTTGTACTGTCAGATCAAGGAACGTAAGTCCATTGCGTACTGCTATTACAGATTTTGGACCATGACATCCCATACTAGTTCCTAAACCACCATTTAATTTTATAACGATTAACTTGCTTAAAAGAGTTTTCACTTCTTCTCCTTCTGGAGTTGGCAAGGAATTATAATCTCTTATCTAAAAATATTAAGCTTCATTAACTTTATAATTTTTTAAAATAAAAAAAAACCTTATAATTTTTTTAAATTTCATCATTATGAAAGATTATATATATATATCGATCATAACTAAACGAGACACATTTTGATATATAATTTATTTTTTTCTTATAATTAAAAAAAATAATACAAATATCATATAATGAAAATATCAATTTCAATCTTTAATTACATCAATTTATTAACACATTAATTCTTTAATGTTCGTTTTTATCTTAACTATAAATATTTGACAATTGATAATCGATAATATACAAGATAATATGAAAAATATTGAAGAAATATATTTTATTAAAAAAAATATCATCCTTGTTCTATTTAAAATAAAAAAGAATCTTAATATTAATAAAAAAAGATATTACAATTATAATTTGAAAAAGCATTTATTTACCGCATCGTCAGGCAACTTTTGTATTCGATCCCATTCCAACGAAGGTCCTTCTTCTTGGAGGAATCGTCGAAAGAGATGAGTAAAGCCATCGAATTGTCGATGAATTTCCTCCTTGATATCCCCTGTCGCGGTTGCCTCAAGTTTCTCTAATTCATGCTGAAGCTCGTTTAGGGCATCTCTCTTAGTCCTTTCGCGGAATGCCTGCGTATCTGAGGGACTGCGTTGATGACCGCGTGCCTACGGATTTATTCACCAAGATGGTAAACGACAAAGTAATAAATACCTTTTCTCTTCATAAATCGCTTGAGGCTGCCATCATCACCATCCAATTTCGAGAAATCGTGCATGACGTATTACAATGATTTTACACTTTTTATTTATTTATTTATTTACTGTCTCTTTTCTCTCTCGTTGTTAATTATTTACTCGTTAGAAAGGAGTAAATCGTTAAATAGTCGTGGAGAAAGAAGATACTATTTTCCTGGTTTCTATTAAATTATCCTTAATTAAGAAAATATTATCAGGTTGAATTGATATTTGTTTCTTAGTGACATTTATTATTGTCAATGATTATTGTTTCTTGTTTGATCATTTTTATTTTATAAAAACAAATAA